ATGGTCGCCTTCCATGATGGTTGTCCCCCTTTAGCACGTAAGCGGCGCCTCCCATGGACCGGTCTGAGCCAGGAGAGTGCCCCGGCCATTGGACTTGAGGTCATGATCCAGTGCTACTGACGTTGGTGGAGCCATCCCATCGGGCAACTCTTAGCCTCTAAGCGCAGAAAGGCTTGTCCTGGCCTGCCTTGACCAGGACGCCGCACGGGTTTCTTCCGCTGTAGAACTACCCCCGTGACAATATGTGAGGAGCAGATCCGGTATCTTAAGGGGCGCCTCACAACGTCCTACAGCACATTTCAGCGGTGTATTAAGGACATCTTCCGATGATATTACAAAAAATAACGGAGATGTTATCAATGCATGACTGGGATGTGCGGACGTTGTGGGGGCGCTTCTTTGTCGCAAAGATGGGTGGGCCCACAATGGTCCTGACTCATGGGGACCGCCTTTTCGGATCGCGGAAAATGAAGGGGATGAGACTTGAGTTGAGACTTGAGAGAGGGACTTCATGCTTTGTTCCTTGATTCTTTCTTCCACATGGTTTTGTTTTTAGTTTCTACAGATTTTTCTAGTTTCTTCCTGTTTCTAGGGTTTGAGAAGGCATGGATTTCCAGAGAAGGAGAGTTCGGCTTCTTTTCTTTATCGCTGCCCTCGTTGCTCTCAGTATTACAGGTACATCTCTCTCCTCTAAAATTTCATTCAAACGGATGGACTGCAACTTTTTTTCCTTAAATTGATAAAATTGGCCGGGGACCCTCCGCTGCCTGGAGATTCCAACTAGATACTTAGTTCAAGGTCATCCTCTCCTGTACAAATTGGGAAAATTGTTCTGCGGAATCTTATGACGCCCAACTTGTTTTATTTCTTCTCCATTCAATCAACTAGACTTACAACCTAATTGACTTCAAGACTTGAGCATTTTTTCCCTGATGCTGTAACTTTTACTGGGGCTTGTTGTAGCAATACCAAATAAACCCAATATTGGTATTCAATGAACATCAACAGCTTCTTAGGGCCATCCAAGGATTAGTATAGATGAAAAAAGTCCTACAGAAAAAAAATAATTAAACAATAATAGTAAAAACATTATAATCCCAACTCTCAAGGTTTAGACCCTCAAAAACAGAACAAAAAACAGGGCAACCACCATATTGGTCCTTTACCTTTACAGACGTGATTGGTGTGGAGGCTCAGGAATGCATAATGTGCATTAAATTCAATATCCTTCCAACTAGGATTGTCATCTAGTCTCAAATCACAGTATTGTGCTTTGTAAGTTACAGTTCAGCTGGCTTTGCTTTAACATCATTATATCACGACTTCACTTTCCTGCATCCACAAAATTGTCTTAGCAAGTTAGCATCAATATTGCATGGTGCTACCACACAACAAGGTGCAACACTACAATTCTAAATTAGGTTTTGCAAGGTAATATGGTAATACATGCTTTTAACCTGTATCTTGGGTTAGAATAGTACCATGCGTGGTAACTCAGAGTTACATAGTACATACATGTGTGGTTACTTGCTAACTATAACATTCCATAAAACAGAGGATACTTGGGGACAATGATGAATACCCCCTCCCTCTAGAAAATTAATGTTTCATTTTTTTTTTATCTTCAGTTGTACCTTTGAAGATGAATTATGTAAATGCAGATTGCAGTGCATAATATAGAATCCATGTTCATAAGAGTTTGGAAAAAGTTTTGACGCCATCTGCCAAGCTGATGCAACCTTCCTCCTTTATCTGATCCTGGGACCAGCAGTGTAAGTGAAACCCATACTAGTGGAGTTGAAGTGTCTAGAAGAGCTAGAAGCAGACCAAAAAGGACATCGGTCATTTGGTTGAAGTAGTGAATTATGTATATGCATATTGCAGTGCATAATATAGAWTCCATGTTCATAAGAGTTTGGTAAAAGTTTTGATGCCAGCTGCCAAGCTGATACAACCTTCCTCCTTTATCCGATCTTGGGACCAGCAGTGTAAGWGAAACCCATACTAGTGGARTTGAAGYGTCTAGAAGAGCTWGAAGCAGACCAAAAAGGACATCGGTCATTTGGTTGAAGTAGTGAATTATGTATATGCATATTGCAGTGCATAATATAGAWTCCATGTTCATAAGAGTTTGGTAAAAGTTTTGATGCCAGCTGCCAAGCTGATACAACCTTCCTCCTTTATCCGATCTTGGGACCAGCAGTGTAAGWGAAACCCATACTAGTGGARTTGAAGYGTCTAGAAGAGCTWGAAGCAGACCAAAAAGGACATYGGTCATTTGGTTGAAGTAGTGAATTATGTATATGCATATTGCAGTGCATAATATAGAATCCATGTTCATAAGAGTTTGGTAAAAGTTTTGATGCCAGCTGCCAAGCTGATACAACCTTCCTCCTTTATCCGATCTTGGGACCAGCAGTGTAAGAGAAACCCATACTAGTGGAATTGAAGCGTCTAGAAGAGCTTGAAGCAGACCAAAAAGGACATYGGTCATTTGGTTGAAGTAGTGAATTATGCATATGCAGAATGCAGTGCATAATATAGAACTCATGTTCATAAGAGTTTGGCAAAAGTTTTGATGCCAGCTGCCAAGCTGATACAACCTTCCTCCTTTATCCGATCTTGGGACCAGTAGTGTAAGAGTAACCCATACTAGTGGAGTTGAAGTGTCTAGAAGAGCTAGAAGAAGACCAAAAAAGGACATTGATCATTTGGTTGAAGTAGTGAGAAAAGAACTAAGGGCCCATAACTTGACAATTGATATATGGCATTAAACAGAGCTTAGCAGTGAAACAAGATTCTTGTAGTTGACCCCATACAGTTGCAAACACAACTTAGTTGGGTTGATATTGTAATGCATGATTCATCATATTATAAATTTGTGATTTCTGTCCTGAATTCCTGATGTTTGATCTTCTCCATGGTGTTTTCCTCATAAAAAAGACCATAGAGTTTGGGTCCTAGTCCTACTCCTACTGTTGCCCTCTCTCCCAGTTCTGTCCTTGTGTGGCTTCCTCCCCTCCTATTGTTGTATTCTTAGATAAAAGGATTTGGACTTCTTCCTCCTTATTCTTTGAGGTTCTTTATATGGGAACTAGATTGTTGAAAAGTGAGCATTTATCACATGCTACAATGAAAATAAAAAGAAACAGAATAGACTCATCTCCCCCATGCATCTATCCTTTGTTTTGAGGAATGCAATATCAATCAAACATTTATTTATGCAATGATTTGAAACTTGGGATGTTGGGTGTTTGTTTATGCATGCATGTATTTGTGCATGTGCTGAAAGGCAGCATTGGATTGCCTTAATTATGGTGCTTGAGTTCTTGTTTCGGTGGAAGCTATTCCATTTGGGAGTGAAGTTAGATATTTTGGAACAGGGTTATGCAAACAGTGAATGCGAAACTTATGGGAGAAATTTATTAGATGAGCCTCTATGATGAAACCATCTTTTTTTGATGTCATCCAAGAGAGGATGATCTCCTCTTTAAGCCCACCCCACACTCTCCTATTCCGATTTCCCCAAAGCTTCCGATAGCACAGCCGAGACAGTGACGGGTTCTCTGCCCCTATGGAGATGGAGCGACAGAAGTTTTAAGAATCCAAGAAAAGGTCACGACGTGACAAGCTATTTATCATTACGATAGGTGTCAAGTGGAAGTGCAGTGATTGATGCAGCTGAGGCATCCTAGTAGACCGATATAGACTTGAACCTTGTTCCTACATGACCCGATCAATTTGATTGGGCATTTTTCATCTATTTTCCTTGTTCAACTCTTTGACAACATGCAAAAAAAAACCAAAAGCCCTTCCCTCCCTCTCTATCTATCCAAGGGATGAAAGGGCAGAGGCCTTTGGTGTCCCCTCTAGTCAAGAATTGGGGCCTCACAATCACTAGCCAATATGCTTTTCTCTCATGCCCTTTTCTCTCATTGGTGGCAATGTGGCATTGGAGTTAATGTAGTTTATCTGTTTATAAATTAGATTTGAAATTTTCAGATAGACTTCCTTTGAAATGGAGGGGTAGGGGTAAAGAAATCTCATTTTGCGAAGTGGGACTGAGTATGAGTTCCAAAGGTGGGTTGTGGGTAAGTTGGCTGTTAGAAGATTAAGAGCCATGAATAAAGTTTCTTTGGGAAGTGGTATTGCATGGAGAGAGAAGCCTTGTGAAGAAGGGTGGTGTTGCAAACAATGGTTGCATGATGGATCCCAAGGGATATAGTGGCATCAATGTAAACTAGGCTAAGATGGATCCCACAGAGCTTAACAAGATGGCTGATTGGCCTAGGCAAGTCTGCATAGGGGGGTTGGGGTTAAAAAGCTCCTATGTGCTTTAAGATTAAAAAACCAGATGATCTCTCAACTTTGTCTGCTTTCAGGTCATTTTTCTGGATATAGAATTTGGGGAGAGCATAAATCTTACGGGTTGAGAACATCTAAAATAACTCCCTCTTCTCAGATGAAAGATGGTGGAAGGAGTGTGCTAAATAGCTAATGCTGCTTTGAGGCTTCGATAAAAAAACTGGGTGGAGCATTCTCATAACAAAGGGGATGGCTTAACTGATTTCCATCTATATTCAACTAAGAATTGACCTAGAAATTTAGAGTTTTGGTTGGGGGTTAAAATTCTTCACCCAAGCAATGCCTAGAGACAGGGATGTGCCTGTGACTTTGAGTCCTTGACTTGTATGCCTTGCTAACTTGATGATCATGTCATATGTGTCTGTGTGTGCATGCGTTCTTTTGAAAATTGATCACATTCTCTCTTTAGAGTATAAACATTTTAAGACAATTTAGGTGTCCATACAAAAAGCGTAGCTTAATTTGCTGTATGTCCTAAGACATTGATAGACCATGAAGTGTCACTCGTTATTAAGTGACTTTTCAGCCTTTCTGAATTTGTGTGTTCCTACTTTAATTTGCTAGTTGATAAATCCCAAGAACCTCAGGTTTGACTTGAATCCCCAGACAACTAGACTCATTCCACTTTGCAATGTGTTTTTCAACTAAAGAAGAAATGGATTTCTGTGATGCCTGTAAATTAAGAGGGTTCATATCAAAACACATATTGTAGAATAATTTAATCTCTGCAATACTTTTAAATGTTTCAATCTTTTTTCTTTCTGTATCTGTAAAACGTATGTGCTTAACTTGTTCTGCAGCTGAAAAATTTCGGCAGCTGGTTGGGGAAGAGGCTTCATCCAAAAGTGGGAAGTTTACATTCTTGAATTGTTTTGATATGAGCTCTGGTACCTTGGCATGTACAATCAAGGAGGGTGTGAAGCTATATTTTTACAATATAAGAGCTGCTCACGTTGAGAGAGCAAGACATCGAGCTATCGAGACTGCCTTGACTGATGCACTGACACAGGGTCTGAGTGCCAGTGATGCTGCTAAGCGGGCACAGAAAGAGGGAGCTAAGGCAGCAAAGCTGGCAACTCGACAAGCCAAACGTATTATTGGACCTATTATCTCTTCAGGATGGGACTTCTTTGAAGCCATTTACTATGAAGGGACCATGACAGAGGGGTTTCTCAGGGGAACCGGAACCTTGTTTGGAACCTATGGAGGAGGTTTCCTTGGAGAAGAAAGGCTTGGGAGGTTTGGTTATCTTGTCGGAAGCCATTTGGGCAGTTGGGTTGGAGGAAGGATAGGACTGATGATATATGATGTCATCAATGGGGTGCACTACTTGCTTAGTTTTGTTCAAACGGAAGAAAATACAGTAAATGAAACTCTTTATGGAAGTTCTGAAGCTTCTGAAGATTCCTACGTTTATGAAACCCCTGCATATGAGCTATGATACATCCAGAGCCTCTGAATGTTCTTATTATGTACCATACTTAGGTGTCCTCGTGGTTTTTTAATTGAACTTGTAAGCTTAGTGATTGGAATATCACCATTCATATGGCAAAAAATTAATCAATGACAGTAATTGGTTCTTTGGGGGCATAAGAAATAAATCTTATAGCATTTCTGACGATGGTCGTGTTTTACTGTATGCATACCATGTTCCCTATTTTGGACCGTATGGCCATATGCTTTTGGATCCACTATCATTTTCTGTGCTGGGAAGAAGAAAAGAATCAGAGGGAAAATGCACCATACTCCAACATTGTCGATTATATTATTCAATGTCTTTTTCTGCAGTTGTTTTTCCCTTGTTCATTTTGTTGTTTGTACACATCTTTACACCTATGGAAGAGGATGCATATGATAGGACATCATTTGCATCTTTATGGGTTGTAAAATCTTAAGTGTCTCATAAAAATTGACGAAATGTTTTCCTCCATTAAGGCCCCGTTCGCTTTTCGATAAGTTACTTATCTGGGTAAATGCACTTACCCAGGTAAGTGTTTTTCAGGAAAGACTTACCCAGGTAAGTGCATTTATTCATGTTCTTTTATTTTCTATGTAAATAAGGGCACTTATTTCCTAGGTAAATAAGGGATTTTGATTCCCATTTGTAAAAAATCTCATGTCCTTTTTTCAGATTTATGTGGGGACCAGGGAAAGTTTATTTTCCATCTCCTAGGTGGGTAAATAACTTTCCCACCTTGGGGGAAAGTTGCCAACACTTGAAAGGGATAAAAATGCCCCTTGTAATAATGGATTTTTTGGATAAAATGGTCATAGCCTTATTTACACAAGAAATAAAAGAACATGGGTAAATGTACTTACCCGGGCAAATTTTTCATGGAAAACAATTACCTGAGTAACTTATCGAAGTACGAACAAGGCCTTAAAGACGATGGATGTAAGGGATTCCACTCTGGATCCAGTGTGTTTGGACTTGAAGGAATTTTTTCTTCGAACCCACTGAAATTTTGACAACTTGCCAAAACGAGTTAGGATTAGGGTCTTGCAAAGGATTCTTGGACACAAATTAGTTTGCTCATTAGCTTTTTCCTTCTTAGTTTGTCTTTTGTATTTTGGGGTTTCCAAGACTAAAACTGAATAGGAGAATGGGAGATTTGTTTCTACTTCTCGTCGGTAGCTCACTTTTGAACACTTTTTTATTTAAATTTGAAGATTTTTTTCACTTGTGATTTTTTCCAATTCCACTGATGATTTTTATTTTAAATTTTAGGGTAAATTACAAAGACCCCCTTGTACTATGGGGTCAGTGACAAAGACCCCCTTGTACTATGACCATGAGGCAGAGACCCCCTTCTGTTAGTTTTCTATTGAAATCCGCCGTTATAATATTTTTTAATTGCCATACTACCCTTTATAATAAGACAATTGGGAGAAAAAAACTGTTCATCTTCCCCGATCTCACGATAAATGAACAGGTAATCCCTTCTATGTTGGTGTTTTATTTCTTTCGGGCCCGTGTGTTCAGGACTGCTCTTGTGGTATATATGGTGATTCGCAGGGTCGTTGCTCTGGTTCTGGGAATATTTGTAAGCCATGGCCTATCGCCACCACCAGCTCCGCTGCTGCCGCCGCCGCGCCACCAATGCAGCAGTCGTAGTCGAAAAAGACGAGCAAGGGTTTATTGGCTTTTGCGGTTATAGGATCAGTTGGGATCTTTTGGGAGCATGTACTCTTATTTTGTGGGCTGGAATATGCTGTTGCTAGCAGAAGAAAGTCCATACCGTTCAACCCACCATAACTAGAGGCAATGCTAATGCTGGCACGCCAACAAGCAATAGTCCATTGAGCGCTTTGTTGAGATCATCCACCATCAGGCGGCAGGGCTCCTAAGTAAGTGTTTCCCAGGAAAAACTTACCTAGGTAATTGCATTTACCCGAGTAAATAACTTATCGAAAAGTGAACGGGGCCTTAAAGACAAATGGATGTAAGGGATTCCACTCCGGATCCAGTGTGTTTGGACTTGAAGGAATTTTTTCTTCGAGCCCACTGAAAATTTGACGACTTGCCAAAATGAGTTAGGGTTAGGGTCTTGCAAAGGATTCTTGGACACAAATCAGTTTGTTCATTAGCTTTTTCCTTCTTAGTTTGTCTTTTGTATTTTGGGGTTTCCAAGATTAAAACGGAATAGGAGAATGGGAGATTTGTTTCTACTTCTCGTTAGTACCTCACCTTTGAACACTTTTTAATTTAAATTTGAAGATTTTTTTTTTCACTTGTGATTTTTTCCAATTCCATGATTTTTATTTTAAATTTTATTATAATATTTCACCTCAATTCTGATGAGGAAGATTTGGCCCGACCTCGCAATCACGCCACGTGGCAAAAAACAAGTAGCTCGGCACTTAAAGCAGCGTACCCAGGGTGCAAACACCAAAGGGAAGAGACCAGTAGTCCGAACTCCCCTCGAGGAGACCAACTCCCTAAGAGGAGCCCGAACACCCTACAAGGGGCCCGAACTCCCTAAAAGGAGCCCGACCTCCCTACTAAGAGCTCGAACTCCCTACGAGGAGCCCAAACTCTCCCTTTGGCCCCGAGCCATACAAAGCAGTGACCCGAACTGGCCCGTCTCATGGCAGTTCGGGGCACCCCCTTATCCGAACTCAAGACTTCGCCTCGCACACCGCTCCAAGCACTTCGCCTCCAGAGCATTGAACTGGACAAACCACACCGTACCTGAC